TTTCCCGTAGTTCTCCATCTTCTTCGAAGCTTGTCATTTAAGCGCAAAGTGGTTAATGAACAGGTCCTGCAGCAGTTGGCAAATCTAATGAAACTCGTGGAGACACCATTTCAGGTTGGTAGCAGCCTAACCAGTCTGTGTTTAAGTCATTGCTAATCTTGTTGTTGCTATCACAATGCTTATAATTATGGTGTAAAAAACAGTAGTACTAAAATACTTTTGGCTGATTAGATCAACTAACTGTTAGTTACTGGAACTTGGGATGTTATGTAACTTTCCCAGTGCTTAGGTACAGTGTCTCGGCAAGTGATCCGAGGTTGTTATAGGTTGGTAAATGCCTGGGCAGGTGACAACCTGATCATTTCCACTATTTAACAGTCCCCTTTTTCTTCTTAATAAATCACTAGTAAAACCATGTCATTAGCTTTTAAGTTGGCATGTGGAAGGCTACAGCATAAAAGTCCATTAGCGTGGAGTCTGGACTTATGCTAAATTTCTACTATGTGGGGTGAAAGGTAGTTTAGTCCCAACTTATGACGAGAAAAAGTAACAGATTAATGAAAAGAGAACGTAATACGGTAACATTGATACTGATAAATAATTTGTTATTGATTCACAGGGCAGGGATGACTTTCAGATTACCCTTCTCCGAATTCTTGAGTCTGTCTCAGAGGAGTCGCATGTGATTCTTGAAAGCCCTGACATTTTTATTCGTGAGGTTCTCCCCAGTTTGGCTGTTCTTTATAAGGGTAACAAGGATGGTGATGCCAGGTTTCTGTGCTTGAAAATTTTGTTTGACGTGATGGTAATTTTTTTGAATGAACAATCTGAAGATCAACAAAGGTCCAAAGAACTGGAATCCATATCCAATAAGAATTTTCTTCCTCTCTACCCTTCCTTGATTGAAGATGAAGATCCGATTCCCTTGTACGCACAGAAGCTTCTTGTGATGCTTATTGAATTTAATTACATCAAAATTGCAGACATTCTAAATCTTAAGATAGTCTCACAATGCTTTGAGTTTTTGCTCGGCGATCTTTCAAGTGCAAATGTGAACAATGTCATGCTATGTCTGGCTCTGACATCGGCACCTGAGATGGAAACCAAGTTACTTTCTCAACTGAAGGTAGTTAGGAAAATAGGAAACCTTCTAGAGTTTGTATATGCAAAGGATATGGAAGATTTTCTGGAACCAACCCTTGGCCTATGTAGGGCTTTCCTTGTACGGTCAGTGAGTGGTAGAAAAGGCTTCATCTATTCAAAAGAACCTGATCTTCTGGGTGATGCGTCTTCTGAGGCAAGTGGTGCTGATCAGCAACAAGGCATTAGAGATATCATGGACTTCGGCAGCAATGTTGGCGTCTTACTAGAGTTGAGTAGATCATATGGAGGAAATGTGGTAGATCTGGCCTCAGAATGCGTTGTCTTGTTGCTCAAGGCAGCTCCAAGGGAAGCCACTGCTGGTCTGCTAACTAATCTTCCAAAAGTTACTGCAGTCCTCGAGTCTTGGCGTAGGGGCGCATCTCACTTATTGGTGCTGCGCGTGCTGCATGCCCTTGGTTATTCCTGTAGGCAATATTTGTTACACGCAATGATACTGTCGATATCTATACCCGAGATCTCAAGAATTGAAGGCATAGTTTCTGAGATTAAAAGTTCAGGTGTACATGTTTTAGCCACTGCTGCTTTCCATGTGGCTGTGGAGTTGCAACGGCTGCCTCGCTGCCTGTAAAGCACTAGCGGTAACATGCTCGTTTCTTTCCCCTATTTCGTATCATCTTAATTATAATCTCTCGAGTTTAATGATTTCTTCTTTTCGCATGCAGTGCTATGCAAATCAATCGGCTTCTCCTGAGCGCTTGATAAAGGATCGACAACTTATGAAGGTGAGTTTATTTGTTCTGCATTATATTAAGGCCAATCCAGCTCTGGTTGGCTTGCCATTATACAATCTTTGTAAACTTTGTATCTCCATTGGAATACTGTTTCTTTTGAATATCTCTTTTTTCTTTCTTTCTGGAATTTACTTCACTGCAATTTGATCAAAACCTCGTATGCTAATCGGATAAATGCTGGTTAGTTGTGGTACGAAATTGTTTAGCTGTTCGATTAATCCATTCAAATTTACCTAGGGGGTGTGAATCCATCAAATTTATGTGATCAGTGAAATCATGTACACGAAGGTTGTGCATTCCTTGCCTTTGTGACAACGCTTGTTCTAAATCCTTCTTGATTCCACTGATACACTGCTCATTGTATTTCACGCAAAGATTTTGTTGCGCGTATATTGGGCCCAAATGCACCAACGGTTAGCAATTGCTCACAAATGTGCCTGTACTGCGTAGTCGTATCATTACTTATTGGTGATTAACGTGCTTTTTTTTTATTGGTGATACATCATTTAGTTTGCAAATTTAGTTTCCTTAGCATTACCCTTGTAACAATACAAATCAAATTAGATATCGACAACCTACAAAATTTAGATCCACTGCTCATGCAACGTTTCGATTTCATCCGGGAAAATTCCTTTGATTGGAACGTCCGTTGTCAGTAAATGGTTCCTTTGATCTTATCTTTTTTGGACAAGGATCCTCTCCGGATCCTCTTTGTGGGGATCCGGGGATCAATTAATCGTATCTGTTCATCGTATATCATGTGGTCAGTTTTCTTTAAGTATTATTTATATTCAATTTAAAATTTAAAATAATTTCTAACCTCACGATGTACAATAAATAAACACGATTAATTGATCTTCCGAATTCACACAAAAAGAATATGGAGAGGATCCTATTCCTTTTTTTTGGGGTTGGGGTTTTGTTGGGGGGGGGGGGTTTGGGGTGATTGGCATGATTTATGTTCATTTTATACATTAAAATTTCTTAGAGTAAATTGTAGCAATGATCTCTCAACTAAAAATCCATTACCATTAGTCTCTTAACTCATCAAAATGTGTAGCTATGGTCCTTTTTGTCAACTTTGTTAGAATTTTGTCAAAATAAGTTATGTTGGAATGACCATTGTTACAATTGGGGTCCCTCAATCGTTAAAACATGTAGCTATGGCTCTATTTGTCAACTTCGTAATAATTATGTCAAAATGAGTTATGTTGGAATGATCATTTCTACAATTGGTTTAATGTTGAAGGACCATTGCTCCAATTAGGATAAAGTTGAGGGATTATTTCTCCAGTTTGATTAAAGTTGAGGGACCAATGGTAATGAATTTTTAGTTAAGAGACCATAGCTGCACATTTTGATGAGTTAAGGGATCAATGGTAATAAATCTTTAGTTAAGGGATCATTGCTCCAATTGAATTAAAGTCAAAGGATTATTACTACAATTTACTCAAATTTCTTATGTTTAAAAAAATATAAACTGTCTCAAGGAAATCTAGTGATTGTTTAGCTCTTTGTTGTATCTGAATTTATAAGGGAAATAATTTTCTCACTCGCCTTTTATTCTCTTGCACTTTTCCCAATGCTTGTCTTTGTCTCCTATTTATCGTTAATTTATTTAATTTTGTAGCTTGAAACAAGTGAAAAAGCGCAAATGAATAAAATACAAGTGTGGTAATTGTTTCGCTTTTGCAATTCTTGTTTTAAGATGGATTATATGGATTAACAAATTATGACATCAATCAACTTTTCCATGAAGTGTTACCTTCAAACGTTCCCTAGTACTTTCCTACGATGCTCATGCCTTATAATCGTCAAGTAAATGATAATATGATTGGTGGAGTAAATTATAATATGATTAGATGGAGTAAAATTAACTCACCTAATAACGATTGTATAACATTTGTGCTTATAATACGCATTATATCGGTTGTACCATAACAAAATCTTTCTGATCTATGAGATGCACAACAATCAACAATTTACTCATATCTAAAAGTTCCAAACAAGAGGTTAATCAACTTGATGATCGTGCAATATGGGGTGAGTGATTGTTTTGTAACATTGAAGTAATCAAGTAGATTAGGACTTAGGGTTTCGGATTATCAGAAAAGCAAGGGGACAGCAAGGTCACAGACCAAAAGGGAAAAAAGAAAAAAAATCATCTAATTCCAATTAAAAAATCTGGTCAAGTGATCTCCGATCTTTGATCTTTGTCTCTTCCCTACAAATGCCAACCTGTTTTGCTCAAATCCATCGAAACTCCACTCTACCCATGTGGCACATTGGTCCCACCTAAAACTTCTAATCATCTACAAGGTACTTGCTACTCGATTGTTAAGTGCATTTACCCGCACCAGGGTTCTTAAGTTCAATTATTTTTTTTTTCACAAATAGTTTTGTATATAAATATAAAAAGTAATATTTATAATCATTATTTTCTCTAGGGTAATCCTAACTTTACTATACTTAAGTGTCGTGAAATTCGTATTTACTACTCTTAGTTTTTTTTGTCCTAGTTTCTTACCTAAACTTTGATTTTTATGATACTTTAATACTTCAGTTAATCTTCTTTTCATTAAGTTTTCCATTAAGTGATAATGTGTATAATTTTGGGCTACCACTTCTTGGCAAATATGGTGGGCCAAAATTATGTCACGTCATTATTTAATGGAAAACTAACAAAAAACCTAACAGAAATATTAAAGTGTCAGAAAAATAAAAGTTTAGGTATGAAACTGAGAAGAAAAAAACTAAGGATTGCAAAGTGCGAATTTTCACAATACTTGAGAGAGTAAAGTGAGAATTATCTTTTTTTTTCTCTGTATACAAATGATATATTTACCTAAGGGGTGAAAGAATAAATTAGTTAGAATTTGTCAAGCATTAAATTCGAACGTAAGACTTTTTACTTATAATTGAAAATAAATAAATGGCTAGTACTAACCACTAAGACAACTTGTAGTCATCCTTTAAAAAATCCAATCATAACTTCCACCCAAAGTACTTTTTTCTTTGGTTAAACTCCAAAAGCACTTTCACTACACAAATATATAAACCACACTCCACTAAATTTTGTGAGAATTGATATCTTCATCATTAGAAATGGCCTCTTTTTGGTTAAATGTAGCCCTCATGATGGCTCTCATGGCCTCACCTCTTCTTTCCTTCAATTCAAAAGCGTCAAGCATCTCAGCTTCCCCAGCATTCTTCACCAATTCCCCTCCATCTTCTAATCTGCAAGGACTCGTACCTCCAGAAATAGCTCCACTTTTGCCATCTCCAGGTCCTGAGGTGCCTACCACTCCAACTGATTCCTCCATACCCACCATTCCCTCCAACCCGAGCCCTCTGAATCTCGACGACCCGCCTTACCCTGCACTTTCACCATTTGGGTCATTGCCAGCTTCTTCAGGAGCATCTGCAGATTTAGTTTGGACTCTAAAGGTTGCTACTTTTGCATTTTCAGCTGCATGTGTATTGGTTCATGCAGTTAGTTTCTTAGGGTGTAAGTATTTGTTGTGGGATACATGATTCAATTGTCATTGGTTGTAGTAAAAATTATCCAATATATACATGTATAGGTTAAGAATTTTTAATTGATGTTGAGTAATATTTAGAGTTTGTAGCTCGAATAATTAAGAGAATTTATTTTTGTGTTTGAGATGTTGCATTCAATTATCCAATTCTTCGACATCGATTCTATAAAACAGAAATGTTTTGTGTCCTGGTGTACTCTCACCACTCCCCAAAGACTATGAGTCAACAACACTCGTAAGTGATAGCCAAAAATATTTTAAATATTTTCACACGTGAGAAAATTACAACACCAAAAAGTAAAGTGACACATAATTTTAACTAGATCGAAATCGGATAATTGAAAATAAATCTATTTGAAAGTGCATGTGACATCTTAAGATGTACAACAGCTAACGAGTCATATGTTGTCCTAATCAAAAGAAAAAATAATATTGGTGTTTTAGGTAATCTAATCTGTCTGTTTTTGCTGTCTTGATCCTTAAATACCAATAAGATTTGTTGATCCAAAAAGTAACGGCTGAATTTTAATATGAATGCATGTCTAGTGAATTGTCAGACGCCAATCAAAGTGGGTGGGTGGGGGCACAAATTTGAGCAAAGAAAATGTCCAACTTGGTGGGTCATGGGGCTTGATTCATCCAATGATTAAGAAAGTTTTCTTGCGTAAAATTTGAAGTGCATATATGAGTTAGGCTAGTTAGTCAACGATTTTGCATCCAAGTCTGAATTTTCAAAATCATGTTACTTACAAGGTGAGTGTTTGTCATTATGCACCCGAATCTGAACTCCGCAAACTCCTTTCCTATTAACATGGTCAATTAGTCAACATGGTAATTTGTTCGTCATTCTGCACCCAAGTCTGAATCTCAGATCCCCTTCCCCGTAATTAATTAAAATAAGAATTTGATTTGTTGAAGGGACTCTGAATTTGCACAAATTAGTGTTTGTTATTAAATCGTACAAGCTGGTGCTTATCGCATTGAGAATTGTCTCGTCCATGAGATTTGAACTCAAACAATTTTTCATTGTTTTTATCGAGATAAAAGTAAACAAATACAGAACATTAGAAACGCCACTAACGATCAACCTTCAAATTATGAGCACTAAAACATCCATAACAAAAGATTAATAAAAGTACCAAAATCATAGTATAAAACTCAAACAAAGAAACTAAAAAAGGGTCCACAGGTTTGTGTTGGTTCTCTCTAAAATTCATTAAGCACTCTTCTTCGCAACGAGATCCTCGATCAGGTCAGCTGCATCTTGAACAGTGGCGATGGTCTGGGCGTTTTCTTCCTCCACGGTGATGCCAAACGCCTCCTCAAGTCCCATCACAATCTCAACCTGTATCAATGGGTGGGAATATCTCAATCAGGATAACCAAGTAAACACAGAAAAACAAACATCTGTAGCAAGTTGCAACCAGTTTTGCACAAAGAAACACGTCAAAGGACGTTGTAATCTGAAAGTTGCAAGGAAATTTACTCTCTAAAACTAATTAGAGAGGGTTTAGAGCAAATCGGATGCCATAGCCTGATGTATCCATCCACGCTATAACACCCCTATCATTCTATAATTCTAATTGCATTCTAGAAAAGGAAAAAGAACAGAAAGCTAAGGATTAATTAACATCGTAGAAAATGAGAGCAACAAAAGATAATTGGTAATTACTGTGTCAAGAGAATCGGCGCCAAGTTCTGTAAATTTTGAGCCAGCAGACACATCGATGTCTTCAGCTAAGGCCAGCTGCTTCTTCACTATGCCACACACCTTGGTGATAGTCTCCGGTTTGGCCTGCAAAAAGTTTTTATACCATATTATTACAATTATTACACAATAGGCATCTGAGATATTTCATTATCATAGACCGCTAATCATTGTTACCTAACTTATACTCGACAGAGTTAGTACCTCTAAAGAACACAGAAGCTTTCTTAGACAACACAAGGCTAAGCATCATATCACGTGGTTATGATATTCAAACAATAATTTGTTTCGTAGGTTAAAGACAACTATGGAAGAGTGTAGGAATCATAGCAAGCCAAGAGCAGATAGATACAAAGCACTGGCTATGCCAATATTTGTTATCAGGCCCTCCTTTAGCAAAATAAAGAAGACAATCTGAGGTCTGTGTTAGAAGAAACAGCACTCTGTGTCTTAAGAGGACCTCAATGGATAATTTCTTTAATTACAGAAATCTTCTAAAATGTGGAGCGGAAATGTTATGGCAAAAAATGGATTTTCCAACATGTAGAACCAGCACTGTATTTTACCAATTCAAAAGAAAATGTACATTTATAAATTATAATCTAGTGCCACATCACAGGAAATGAAGATACATCTAGAATGCAGAAATTTATGCACGAGACAGATGACAACAAAAGTAAAAGTTACAGTAGCTTTATGATCAATTAAGCTTACCGCACAAGAAACTTGGAAGCGCCCAGGTCGAGAACTGATGGATGGAAAGCGCTTTCCAGTAATGGAAAAGGAAACTGATTTCAAACCAGAGCTCCTGCTGCTGGGTGCCTGATTCAACATTCAACCATAAAAACAAAATGTCACGAATGAAATGTAACGTATGAACTTGAAAAAAGAGCAGCATCTAAGAAATGTTGCAAATCTGAATTAAACAAAACAGCAAACTAACTACAAACAAAGTTCTAGAGGGAGAGAACTCATGGAGTGGAAGAAAACCAACTCAATACCATCTTCCCTGTCTCTTCGAACTCTTTAAAGTAATAAAACCATGAGAAACACAATGTATCCCTTCGGTAGTAATTGTACCATAAGATTCTCCAAGTTCAATACACGCAAGTGTCCTTTTAGAACTAATTAAAGTAAAAAAACACGAGAAACACAACATATCCGTTCAGCAGTACTTGTACCATGAGTTTCTCCAAGTAAAACGCATGCAACTGTCTTTCGATATCATTAGCTTCGATAAATCAATCACTGGCATTGGTTAATCTGAACTAATTGTGTAAACCAACTGAGCGAATTGTGTAAACCAAATATGATGTTTTGGTTAATCTAACTCAATGCATACAGTAACCAGCACAATCCAATAAACGATTTTCGAAACAAAGTTATTTACTGTTGTGCCCGAGCTAGAACTAAAACAAAATCATGAAGTTCAAAAGCTGCACCATCATATCAAAGACTGATAAATAGCTTCAAATCACCAACGGGACCCATCAAATGTCTAACCCAACTAGGAGCATGCAAACATTTTCCATTTCCAAACTTCAAATTAGCAGATCAAATTATTCTAAAAAATCAATTCAGTCATAAACGTTATACTCAAGCTACTCTCAGATCATTCAAAGCTCAAACTTTGTGATCAGAAAAAGTAAAATTTCAAATCAAATCAATTTCAGTCAATCAGAAATGAAAGCAAAAGCTTCTAGATTTACAGTTGACCAAAAACAACCAACACCCAGATTCACAAATTCCACAATCTGAGGATCCAAATCTACACCCACAAACCCAAACCCAAACCCAAATCCGAAACACAAAACAATAAAAATAAAGAGGAGGGGGGAAGAAAGACGGAAACTTTATCTAATTACCAGAGCGGGCTTGAAGGAGGTGGAAAGGGCAGTAGAAGCTCGGGCGAGGGAAGCCATTGGAGTCGACAGAGGAGAGATCTGATATCGAAAGAAGTGAGAAATGGAGGGGAGAGGGGCGGAGAGCACGAAGAGTGTGAGTATACTGTAGAGAGAGAGTGGGGGTTTATGATTTGGAAGAAAAAGGGAGTCTTTAAACAGGGTTTTATAAATGCAGTGGACTGGTTGTTTGTTTGTGTTTGTTGGGATTTGTTGGGCCTTTTTCTCGCTCTGTTTTCATCGAAATTGGGGGATGTTTGGGCCCTTGGTCTTTCATTTTCTTTCTTGCTGTTTGGCTCCTGGTTCAGGATTCAGGGAGGGTTATATGGATATCATGATCTTCTGTTTGGCTCCCTTCATCTTCCCTATTTGCACCACCAAGTACTAACTATAAAGGGAAGTAATCATTTAAAGTGGTCTATGGTAAAAGGACTATCAATGAGGAGGAGCGCAACGATGTTAGCTTTGGCTTAAGGTTACTTGGTTTAAACGAAAGAAGTGATCTTTCTAGCGATTCAGTTTCCGAAGGATTTCAAACCTAACCTTCCAGTATGAGAGCAAACAAACAAACCTAGTGAAAAAAAATTAATCACACGAGGTGAGTATGATTTGTGCTATCCTCTTGCACTTCACCATCAACACTCTCCTCGTCATATATCCTTCATGTGTACATAATTTGATTCAAGTCGGTGATATATTCACACTAGGCACATAAATTGTTTAAAAATCTTCAATAAATGTACATACTTTTGTTTGCCTAGTTCAAATTGTGGGTGCATATAATTTGTTGCTTTAGAGCACAATGAAGTTAGGTAAACAAGAATTATATGGTGTGTAGCCTTTGGCTTTTGGTTGCTTTTAGCTATAAAATTCCTAATTAACCAACTGAACCATGGCTTAAATGTTAAGGAAGATTGTCTAGTTGTTAGGAACGCCTAACTTTGCCTACACTTGCCTACATACATTGCCACCGCTTCCTTCCACAACAGTCTGTTATGATGGGAAAGCAATTTTGGCTCGTTTGGGAACTTGTAGTAAGATAAAAAGCTAATTTCAAGGGGAAAAGAACGTGAAAATTGGGGACGAAGAATCTCTGAGTTTAATTTTCGTTTAGATAGGTGAAATTTCACAATTTTAATTATGACGAGAATCGCAAATTCATATGAAAAAAAACCTTGCGCACATCAATTTTCATGCGTCAAATTTCACGATAAAATGGCTGCATAATTCACTCTGTTCACTCTCCAATCTTCACGATAAAGGGTGATGCTTTTTGTTGTGAGATATACCAAAGAGTGTTAGTAAGTGTGTTATTTTTTTGTGTGGAAATAGTTTTTTGTTATTAGACAAAATATATAGTTAAATGAAAGGATGTAATAAAAAAATTTAGAGACGCTGCTACATTTGCTGTCTTTTGCATACTTTATTCTTTGCAAGGGATCCAAAACTGATTTGCTTCTTTTGTCCACATAAGTACCTCTTGGTAAAGCATTGCTTAATTAAATATATAATTTGAGTTTTTTTTTTTTTTTTTTTTTACAAATTTAAATATTCTTGGATTTGTAATCTACAAGTCAATTTGCACATATAGAATGTGAAGTAGCATCAAAGTGGAGATAAAAACACATATGAGTTTAGGTAGTGTTTTCTACATACTCATTTTTATTTTTTACGCGCACCATTTTTAATTTTCAATCGTCGAATCGAAAAAATAGAAAAAAATTAAGAGAAAATTGTAGCAATGGTCCCTCAACTAAAAATTTATTACCATTGGTCCCTCAACTTATCAAAATGTGTAGTTATAGTCATTTTCATCAATTTGGTCAAAATTTTGTCAAAATAAGTTATGTTGGGATAACCATTTATATAATTAAGGTCCCTCAACTCATCAAAGTGTGTAATTACGATCATTTTCGTTAACTACGTCAAAAATTTTGTCAAAACGAGTTATGTTGGAAGGACTATTGCTACAATTGGGTTAAAGTTAAGAGACAATTTCTGGAGTTGGATTAAAGTTGAGAGACCAATGGTAATGAATTTTTAGATGATGGACCATAACTGTACATTTTGATGAGTTGAGGGACTAATGGTAATTGATTTTTAGTTGAGGGACCATTGCTCTAATTGAGTTAAAGTTATGGACCATAACTACAATTTACTCAAAAATTAATGATAAAAAATTAATAAGGGTATGTGGGAGGTAAAATTGAGTGTAACTAGCACCTTGCATGAGTTTAATGAATTAATATCTTTTGAACCGAGTTTTATTGGGTGCTACATGACACCAGACGACACCAATCCATGGACTGTTGAATTTCATCTAACGGTGGAGAATTAATGACTGGATGACCTTCTGCAGAGTATTATAATGGAGCCATTAGGAAAGCTGGGAAAATCATCAGAGAATGGTCGAAATTCGTCTGTGTGCCAATATGACAAACCCAACGGAGGATTTGACGATTTGTGAACATACAAGTCATTGAGTTACCATGTGGGGTTGTACAAAAGATGTAGTCACTGCTGTCTGGAATCCAACCCTCCCTCGCGACCCTTTCGTCATCAAATGAGTACCGCCACAACTTCAATCCATTCCAAAACAAAGAAAAATGACAAAATATTTGTAGCTCAAGTAATTATGAACGTATATCTCTGCATTTGAGATCCTGTGTTTAAATTATCCCTCATTTTCACAAAAATAAGGAAAATGAAAAGGAGGAAATTATATAATTTTTGACTTCCAGCCTTTTCCTTAGAAAAAGGAGAGGAAAAAGGGCAGAAAAAGAAGAAGAAAAGCATTGTTATTTTTTTATGGCTTCTCCTTTTAAGCTTTTTACTTTCGGTGGGGTAAAAAGGGCAAGGGAGCTGTACAAGTCCATGTGGTGCACGCTGGCCAGCTGTCCTGTCTAAGTTTGGTGGCTTTGCCTTGCTACTTTTCTTTTACCCTTGAATAAGGCAACGTTAAGATTTGTGGTTAAAAACTTCTTAACAATGTCCGTGTGGTAAACTTCTTTTCTTCGTCTCACTTTCCATTCAAATGATTTCCAATTCGGATCAATATGTTCTTTCACTTTTAAGTGTAAAAAGTCGATGCAAGTCTAAATTTAAGATCCAACAGGTTTAGTAATATCTTTTATTCAAGCGATATTCTATTTTAAACTCATCTAAATCAAGAGAGTAGAAAAACTCTCGATCAAGTGCATAAGTCTATATAAGTTATATAAGCATACTATATTCGCTTATATATAAAGAAATACTCTTGCGTAACAAGTGACGCTACATGACGAACATATATTAAAAGATTGAAGTAATTTTCGAACAAGTAACAAATATTCAATAGACGAGTGATGCTACTTGAACTATATGCATTGGTTACAATTAAAACGTAATCTCAAGCATTTACCTCACCATTTGGGGGGGGGGGGGGGGGGGGGCAATTGGGTCAATTTGGATTGCTTGGGCGTTTGCTAAGAAAGAAAATGAAAGAGGGAAAAGCGGGTACAACCGTTCAACTTCAACAGTTGGGAGAGAGGAGAGAGGAGAGAGAGAGAGAGAGAGGAGAGAGAGTGGCAGTGTTCAGTGGTGATATTTCAGCAACAGCACCACCATCAACATCTCCCCCACAAATCCTTACTTGCCTTTCACTGCTCTGCTTCACCTTCTTCAAATAGTCGTTCGCCATCACCAACCCACCAAACCCATTCCTCCACTCCAACACTTTCTCTCTCTAGAATCCCCCCCCCACACACACACACACACACACTCTCTCTCTCTCTCTCTCTCTCTCTCTAGTTTCTTCATCTGGGTTCTTCTCATCCGCCTGCATTCTCTCAAGAACTGCCGATGACGACGGCGCCAGAGCTTCTGGAAGTTCATCCCCGCGAGCTCAAATTCACATGTAATTTCCACCCCCACTTTTAATTTTCTGGGTTCATAACTTTAATTAGTAAATTAGTATAATCTCCAAGAACCAAGTGATTGCACTTTCTTGTTTAATTATTACTATTATTGTTATTTAATCGTGTCTTAATTTTCTTTCCCGATTGCAGTTGAAGTGAAGAAGCAGAGTACGTGCTCGATTCAACTCGGAAACAAGTCCGACCACTATGTTGCTTTCAAGGTATTGCACTTGCTTCAATTTTTTGAATTATTTATTGTTTTTTGTAGCTTGTGTTTTGTGTGCATGGAAACATATATGATTAGTCACTTTTCATGAAAATGTGGCCAAAATTGAGATAAATTTGGGTTTGATTTGAGATTTAGGAGATCAATTGGGTGTGCTTAATGTTTTGGTTTGAAAATTGGCAAAATCTATATGCAGGTGAAAACCACTTCCCCAAAGAAATATTGTGTGCGGCCGAATGCAGGCATTGTAAAGCCCAAGACAACGTGTGATTTTACAGGTCTTGTGTTCATCTCTCTTCATCTTGGGTTTTTGTGTTTCTCTGTAATGTGTTGTTGTCGCTGTGGTTTCAATCCCAATGCATACATTGATGATATGTTGCTTCACGCAAAAGCATTATCCGTTATGTTGTTTGATTGTTAACACGGATCAAATGTTGGAACACAAATTTACTTGATTGGAATTGATGGCCTAGCAGCGTTTCACCGTGCAACATGTACTGTAATGAGTTTGTTTTTATAATTAAAGTAGATGATCAAGGGCTGTACTGAATTAGTAGAAAATAATGTCAAGCCGAAACTTACATCCTCACTGTTTGTAGCCTGTTATGGCTGACCTAAAATCTAGTGTTGAAACTAAATGGATTTTCACTCTCACCTTTTTATTCAATGCAGTTACTATGCAAGCTCAGCGTGTTGCTCCACCTGATTTGCAGTGCAAAGACAAGTTCCTAATCCAGTGCACCGTTATTCCATTTGGGACAACTGAACAGGAGATAACATCCGAGATGGTAAGAAGTTACAAATTATTGGGTGTCTCTTGGTCCAAGTTGTTTGGTAAAATTCTCCTTTTAATGTCTCCTTTCTGGCAGTTTTCAAAAGGTAGTGGACGATACATTGAAGAAAGGAAGCTAAAAGTGGTGCTCGTTAGCCCGCCCCCATCCCCAGTATTTGTACCAGTTAATGGGGAGTCGAAGCAAGATCCATGCTATGAAACATCGGTGAAAAAGGATAGAGTTCTGACTGAAG